GAATGACTTGCGTCGAGAAGTAGGGCGACTCGCTGCCCAGTCCAGCTCGCGTTGGCAATCATCGCCCAGCACGCCCTTCAATCGCATGCACGATTCATTCATGAAGAAGACACCTCAGCAAATCAAAGTTACCAGGAGCACTGAAGCCAAACGACCAACCAAATGATTTTACTATAAGGCACTGATTACTGACTAAACTCCATTGCTGAGTGAGTTTGAACAATGTATCTACACGCGCCTACCAAATCTACACAAGGTTGCATTGCTTGGTGCATAGCTAACGGAACATAGGAAAACCAAAAAGCAAGTTTGAGACATAGTTTAGTAGGAATGTTGAATCATTCTATGGCCACGAAACAGCCAAACCCAAACAGCTCAACACAGTTAACACATCCCTGGACCACATTCCTCAGCCATGAAAAGCAGTGTGCCATGAGAATACGCGATGAACACGGTACCTCTTCCTCAGTGTAACGAGTTGAAACCACTGAAGCCACACACCAAAAAAAAAAACAAATAGGCCCTGAACGCAACAAACTCCCCTACCAATTCTACCAATCCCCACCAATTCCAATGCTTTGGCCCTCACCGGGCCCTCATCCTCACACACCAAGTTGGAACCATCCAGACGCAAAGCCACAGTACTCAAGCACTGGAACCCACTAGAACTAAGAGCTCGCACAATGCTATGAGAATGGCATCCCACCACCAACCCAACATCATCACTGATTTTGATTAGGTTGCACGCGACACAAATACACAAACGGAACCCGACCAATAACCACATAACCAACTAACTGAAAATCCCAAAACCAGAACTTACCTTCATCAAGAGACTCTGCCAACTCCACGCGCAAGCTCGGTAAAAGCGCTTCTGGAATCTGGAGATTGGGCTCAAGCGGCTGAGCACCTTAATCTTGTGGTACATCTTCACGAATTCCCTTTCGCGAGAGAAGGGGTCTCCAATCATTGACGGGTCTAACACTGTTGTCTCCAAATGGTACATGGGCGCAAGGAAGCGGAGAAAGAGGTTGCCAAGACCTGCATCCATAACAGGATTTTCGTCTCCCTCATTGTCAGCGCGGGCAGCTGATGCCACAAAAGAACCCAACCCTGCAGCTCCAACCGTCTTCACGTTTTCGCTGACAATCTCAGTGTCCTCCAACATCAGGCGCAAGCCAATCCAGGCCAATGTATAGAGGATCTCGGGGTCGCCAGAGCCAAGGCCGACGCCTTTGCGCGACCAGGGGCGGCATGATGCGCCTGCCAAGTGGCGCCGGCACGTGCGCAAGCTGCAAACACGCTCATGCGTTTCGCACCAGGCTTCGAGCTTCATAGCCCTCTTGTTGACAAGTAGTGGCGCCAAAACCTCCACTGCCATTTGAGGTTGCTGCAACAGCCTCTCGACAATCTCTTTCAACTCTGCGCGATAGAACTGGGCAATATTCCTGAACAAGCACGTCCCATGCTTCTTGCAATGGGGAAGTAGCTCAGCAACGCAGTCACGATTCCACTCAATCTGGTACGTGGCAGCTGTAGGCTGCAATGCCATGCCTGTTTTGTTGCTCCACGCTTGCCTCAAGCAGTTAACTGCTGTTCCAGCTGCTTCCACGCCTGAGAACGACGTTGAGAAGGTGTCCGAAGTGATGGCATCGTAGATCTTGAGGACCTTGTCTTCCCCCTCCTCTTGGAACAGGGTCTCGAAGCAATCCTCTTCGAATAAGAATGACTCTGCCATGGACTTGACCACCTTCGGGCCTTTGCAACGTTCTGCAGAGCTGCGAGCTGCAAAACTGTCTGGCAACGTCGGGGATTCATGAGACTCCAATGGACCTTCAGCTTCACATTCAAGCTTCCCCGGCTTGCCAGGGTGTTGAACTCCATCAGCTTGCACGAGCTGAGCTGAAGGCTGAGCTGATGGCTCTGACTGAGCTGATGGCGGAGCTGATGGGGCACCCTCAGCTGGCTCCCCCAACTCTTGAGCAACTTCAACTTCAAGGTTATCGCGCACACTCGCTGAATTTGGCTTGGCTGCCGCTGTGCTCATGGCCATTGCTGTTTGGATGCTCAACTGATGCTTTGGATTGACCACCTTTGCAGCCTTTCCAGCCTCAGCAACAAATGTAGCCGGAACCGGAACCTCATCCAACACGTTCAGCTGAGAAAGAAGCTCTTGCTCCATGGAATCAACAGTACGCGTAGGCCTCAAGCACCTCCCAACTGATGGGACAGGCTCATCTGGAACGGTTTCAGCCCCAGGAAGCTCAGCTTCATTGCTGAAACCATCTAGTTGCTGACTCTGGAAAGTCACCCACGCATAGCCTTCGCCATCGTCCTGATCAGGGATGATTGATTCAATGATTGACCGCATCAGGCATGGAGGTTGCAAGCTGAGGCTTGCAATACATGGGTACAACCCAATAGGTTCGGCATTGCGCCACGCAATTCCAACACACGCGTGGTTGCTAGCGGTACTGGCAGTAGCTGAGGCTGAGGGCGAGCAGGGTTGTATGTATGTGTATATATGTATATATAGAGGCAGGGTTCGTTTAATGATACTTTGATGGGGCGATGGGTTACACAAGGGGAGTGCCATGTTATATGCTCGTTCCAGGATATTGGCCTATAACTGACATGTTTCAATCAGAAACAAAACAAACCAGTCCTGGCACTCCACGGCAACAGGAGTGTCTGAAGAAGCAGCATTCACACTGCCACTGTCCCGCACCATTGGTGCAACCTTTGGCAAATTAATGGGAGGGTCCAGTACGTTGTCCACCTTTACCTCCCAGGCAATACTACTTTTCCGGTCCTTCTTGTCCTTGATGCCTAGCATCTCCCGCAAAGCTGCAAGGTCTTCTGGATTCGTAGGTAACGCATTCTCATGGCTACCAAGGGCAAACACTTGCTCATCTGATAACCTTCGGTTGCTGATGAACTTGAGCTCGCACACTATTTGATATTGAGAGGGGTCAGATTGACGGCGTACGGCTGGTCCGGCATGATGATGATCATGCACAACCAACAAAAAGAGGCTGCCATTCTTCTTCTGCACCTGGCGGCACTGGAAGGCCATCAACACATGTGATTGGTTACCGTTCTGGATAGCTGTCGCAGCTTGCTGCGGCACAAGAAGGCCAAAATGGTGTGACATCTTCGTAGCAGGCCGTCCGGCTGGGCACTCTACATGGCCAGGAGGATCTAGGCGGAAGTCACGACTACTTTCTGAAGTCCTGGTATTTGCTGGCATGATTATTCAAATTGGAAATCCAGTTGTCGGCTCCGTTGCGGTGCGCAAACTGGCAACCTTTGCACTAGATGCCAGATACCCCAATTCCCCAGCACTCGACACCTCAACTGAATGGACTGCATAGACCCCCAAAACCCACAGCCTGCTGCCACACCTAAAAAGACTTAAAAGAGTCTGCAGTGATGCGCAGCAAGAACGTTCAGCATCAAATCAATCATCAAACAGCAGACGCATGTCAGGGTGGACACTGGCTTGATTGAGAAACCTAAACATGTACTGTTCGCCTACCATTGTCGCGCTGCCCTCGGCTATGCTCACCTCAACACTCGACACTCAAAACCCCGGCCGAACCTACAACAACAACTAAGCAGGTCAGGTAGGGTGGGTCAGTTGGGCCTCGTACTTGCAGGTCTGCACGGCATTGTCGTGGGAGTCGGGCACTGTGGCCCTTTCTGGAAGCACCTGGGCGATCTGGGGCTATGATCTAATGAGTCTAATGAGGCATCCCAAGCGCAGGTAGGGCCACCTAAGATGAAGCTCATCAAAACTGAACAACATGAGTCAGCATGAGTCCTGCGCACTGGGCTGGAACTTCACGAAGCAATCGTTGCATAGGCACAGATGCCAAAACTAGTTTTCCACCACGTCAAATCACCCTTGCACTGCCTACTTCTGTGCGACCAGCAACGCTGCCAATCATGGATCGATTGATCGATTGGCTGCGAAAATGCCCAACATATGGGATGGAAGTTCAAGCGCAATTGCAATGAGGCATAAATCGTCAATCAGCCTACCTTTGCTGTAGAAATTTTGAATTGTCAAAGGTCCTACCACTACGACTACTACTATCGCTACCACTACAGGCAGACTAACCAAACATCTACAGCCCGCCTGGGATACTATGGCTTTGGGGCTAGAAACGAGCAACGAGGAGGCTGAAATGAAAAAACGTGATTGCCCATGCCTTCTGGCATTCTGTGCTGCACTGCGCTGTACATCTTGCCCATCTGGCAATCATTCAGTCGGCAAAGTCAGCTGAAGCAAAACCATTGCGAATAGGAAATATTTGGCCAGGTATCTTGAATTCGCTAATGTTTTACGCTTTTGCTCAGCTGCCTCGCAAAAAAGCCCAAAGCAAAAGATTCCTTCAACCATTCAACCATGCTCTTAGACAAAGTGTCTTTGTGAAACTTACACAGCTCCGTAACCCTAGAACCCTTATAAGCGCCCTCAGCCCTTATTATTGATGAAGCCCGGTAATCCCTCTACTTTCTACTTCCTTTACTTCGTGATGGAATGTTCAAGAAGGAATAGTTGTTCTGAGGATCCCTCCGAGCAGCCGCTATCAGCGAATGCTGGAACCAATAACAAAACAGTGCATTCAAATTAGTCGGGTTATCACGTTGATCTTCACAGATGACTCCGATCCACCTGACATGCTCTGCACGCACTTCTACTTCAGCAAGTGTTTGCCGATCTGCAGAACATCCTTTGCGGCCACATTCTTTTTCTTCTTGTCCTATAACGTGGAACAGGCAAGGGCTGGGACTAACAAGTCATTCTTCAGGCTTTGGTTCAAATCGGAAATACAGGGTTAAGCCCAAAGTTAAGCTCAGGTTCTATGCACACAAGGTTAACCAACACCTTGGGGCTTAGGGCTCAGGGGTAAGACTGAGTTTGGCAGGCAACGGTGGAGAATCCGATAATGACCATAGGGCTTGGGAACGCTGCGCCAAACGCAGGTACACAGCTACACATCATGCAGGATGACAAAAGTGCCATGGGAATCTGACTGAAACGGGTCCTTGGGGTCCTTGTTCGCAAAACCGCCTTTCTCCTGAGCATCCTTCAGAGCCGCCATGGCACCAAAACGTGATGCTTCACACTCCTCAGCATTGGCGCCAGACTCCACCTTCTGCGCTGCTTCAAGAGCCTCCTGCATCAATTTGGCCCTGACGTTCCGAGACTTTTCATCATCTCCCTGCAGCCGCGTCAAAGGAATGCTGTCAGGCTGAAGGATAGCTTCTCGGGCCTTCTGCACAAGGGCTTCGTACCTGCCTTCCTGGTCGCGCAATTCCACGAGCGCTGCAATTTGCTCCTCTCGATCCGTTGGCATTGCTAGGCCAAGGGCTTCGAACATGGCTGCATTGGTCTTGTCAGCGGCTTTGGAAGCTGAAGACGGCGTGTCCTCGTTCGCCGCGCCCTGCTTCCTTTTGTTCTTCACAGCTTTTACCTTGGCCTTGGTGGAAGTGGTGATCCAATTGCGGATCTGCTTCTCCACGCTGTCTCGCTGGTCCTTCAAGTCCTTGTCCAGTTTCTCCTGCCAAGCTCAACCCTATCAAGCTCTCTCTCACCCAGATATACCCAAATAATCTTCATGAAACGCAGCGCTAAAAAAAAGACCTAAACTGAGCCTCCAGGTCGGAGACGGGCGACAAGCACTGGATTGTAAGCGGCACCACGACGTGCGCTGCATTCTGAACTTCGTCGATGCGGGCTTTGCGGGCCGAGTAAGCAGGAGTGTCTTTATCAGGAAGGCCCATGATGTCAAAGTCTAGCTCCGAGTCACCAACCTTGTAGAGAATCACGTTGCGCAAGACGGCCTTTGCCTCAAAGAATGCTTGGTCATTGCGTGAAACACATCGTGCGGCCCATGCTGGAACGACAAACTCTGTGTTCACAGCATCCTTGCATGGCTCCATGTAGAAGTCAACCTTGGGGGCCCAAAATTATGAAATATTATGAAGACTTGCGGCGACCCTGGACCCTTTGCCAATCAGCAGTCTTATCAGTATCATTTCCACGAGGACCACATGATATGGACAGCATGGCTGCGCCAATCTGGCAATCAATGCGGATTCCCATGACAATTTAAGGGAGCTGAGCGTGAGCAAGACCCTCCAAGCCCCATGTGAAACATTGGCGAAATCGAAACAGTCTCAACAACTGCAGACAGGAAACACCACAAACCTTGCAGCACCAAATCGCCTTTGGCATCTTCACAGCGCATACTCGATTCATGTAGGGCATGCGCAAGCCGTCAGCGACGGGCAACGCAACCTGCACCACATCCTTGCCACCCTTGGCGCCAGGGGACTTGACACTGATGCGTACCGCCTCATCTTGACCTTGGCCAAGATCATGATAGGCATCCCACAAAGCAGCGTTCAGCTTATGCTCAAGCTTCTTGACAAAGGCTGCGCTGATAGTGGTCATCCCCAAGACCTGGCACTCCTTCGAAAGCCTCACAGTGGCCTGGAAGCTGTCGCTCACAAAGTTGTTCACCACCGCCAGCGAGATGCTCGTGGAAAGAGGAGAACTTTTTCCATCACCTTAGGACATCTATACGGTTTAACACTGGCTGTAACAGGGAGAAGTGGGACTTGGACTAAACCCATACATTGCCGCGTAACCTGGCTTGGTAGTCTTGCCCCCGTTAGCAGTGGCAAGTGCGTCGGGCTTGCTCTGCTCCAATCCCTCCGCCTCGTTGGTCTTGCGCAGCTGCATGTAGGCGCTTGCTCCGGCAGCTTTTGAAACTTCTGAGTCGCCCTCTGGCTGAACCTTCACCTTCTCCTGCACTTTCCGGACCAAGTCGGCCATGCTCTCAGCGTGTTGCAAAACTTCAGCCCACTTTGTCGCCCAATCAGCCGCTGACAGCAGGGAGTCAAAGGGAACAAGTACATCCATCTCGGGTTGCACTTGATCTGCCCAAATGGACAGCATCTGAAAGGTCACTGGGCTATTGTTCGTGATGACCAGTTCGCAGATGCAGGTGCAAGCTGAACTCACGAGGCGTGCCAAGTATTGGAGGCGCAAGCCAAGGAACTTCTCCAAGGTATTTGGATCGAACACCTGGCATGGACGGAGCCCCCCTAAACCCGGAATCCTAAAACCCTAAACCCTAAACCCTAAACCCTAAACCCTAGACCATACCGTTCCCGTCAAACCTTACCCAAAGCCCTGGGTTGACCCGGTTAGCGCTCATAAACACTTAAAGTCTTAAAAGATCTACACAGCCGCTTATGAGATGCCTCGTCTGTACGCTCAACGAAATGACCACGAGCGGCATACAGCTCCGCCACGTCGGTGGCAAAGAGGGTCCACTGGAATGGCAGAGTCTTCGAGACCCGGTCTTGAATCAAGCACAGGAGACCAATCAGGTCCATCCTCTTGTTGGCCTGCGTCATCAGCCTGCGAACGAACAGCCCTGCACACCAAAACCTTAATGACATCAGCCCAGCCCTTTGCCTCTAACAAATCTTCAACTCAAGATCCAACCCCAGAAACACAGTTACATTTAGGGCCAGGGTTTAGTGTTTAGGGCTTAGGGTCCTTAGGGTTAGGATTTAGGGTTTAGGCTTTTTCAAGCACGACTGGCACAGGGGGGTGAGGCCAAGTAGCGCAGAGAGAGTGTCCCGAACCACGTCGTGCATGACGATCGGAAGCTTCATCTGCGTCTCCACAAAGCGCTTCAAGGGAACCACGACCTGATCGTACTGAATGGACATGGTGGTCGCAACTCGTCGCATGCCTTGGCTCTCCTCGCTGTCCAACACGAGAGACTGAACCAGGACGCTGGTGTAAGTGCGGCAAAGAGCTTTGGCCAGGTCGAATGCACTCAAGCTGAGCGCGTTCGACTTGCCAAGAGTTTTGCGGTCGCCGATGTCGTCGCCCAGGAAGTCCATAGCGGCCACGAATGTGGCCTGGAGTTCTGCCCGGGCTGCGCTCCAGACCCTCAAATCCTTCCCATTCAAGCACACGCGGCTCTCAAACGTGAACTGCAGGAAAAGCCCAGCCTAAGGCTGTCCGCATCCAACACAGACGAGTGGCACAAAAGTAAACAAGTCTGAACAAAGACGCAGCAAAGCAACACAGAAGGAAAAGGTGTTCTCCAGGCTCTCCTTGGGCACCTCATTGCCATGAAGATCCCTGACAAAACGGATGGGGTAAAGATTCCCTAGCTACATCCAAAAACACATGGCTTGGTTAAAGGCCCAGCCTTCACAACCTTCTCTGCGTACTTCATGCACTGCATGAAATCGTCCATGGCTGTGATGGGGCGCTTTCCTGCGTCCTCAGCGGCATCCACAGACGCAGCTGGCACAGCCAGCTTCTGAAGCTTTGCTTCTCGTCCAGGGAGAAAGGAGTGAAGGCACTCTTCTTGTCAGACTTCTTGATCTTGACTTCCCCTGCACTCGTGCCGACCCCTTTGCTAGAACCTGCTGCGCTCGCATCGCCTTAGCTGGGCTGCTTATCAATTATCAAGCTTTACCTCACAACTCAAGACAGGAGCCCTGAGACAAGACTTTGGCGCTGGCTTTGCATTGCAGGAGGTCTAGCGTTGGCTACTGTCCACTCACACAAACTGGCCACTCGCCGCTGTGAAATAAGGCTACAGTACGACCTCATCAGAGCTTAAGTAGAGCATGCAATCAGTGATTTCATCACGCAAGGAGCTGAGAAGCCATGGGCCTCGCCTAGAGAATCCAACAGCTTAAGCCCAGCCGCATCCAGCCACAGAGCGTCCATCATCACCAGCAAGGTCCAGCAACGAACTTGACGCCGCCTGCTCCTCCGAGGCTGGAAGATTGGTGTTGGCGGTCGCAGAGGCTGCAGCCTCAGCTGGGCCCTGCACACGAGCCTGTTTGGCGCGCACGCCCAAGCCCGCTAATTCCTGACGGACGTCTCCGCAGACTTGGGCACGTTTGCCAGTGGTCTTGCCATCTGGGTCATCGCTTCGCACAGTGAGTTTCCGCGCAACTACGCTCTCACCCATTGGGAGATTTATGAGATTCATTTTGGTACTATCGTGATCCCACCGTTGGAATGACCAACCTGGCAGCCGCTCGCTGCTTGCCTTTCCAGAAGCCTTGGGCACCTGAAGTCGCTCACGAGCACCGAGACAAACAGGAGCCAGCAGCATCTATGGAAAAACAGGAATGGACAACCAACAACTGACAACAGCCCAACAACCCTGACGGAATAGCTAATGCCACAAAGCGGCACAATGCCTCAAAGCATGCATGAGGACAATCCCCACCTGGGAAGTACTGTAGAACTTGCTCATATTCCCCGTGATGAGGAGGGCCAACTGGTGCATACAGCGCAAGACGGCAGATGCGTCCATGTCCGCTCCCAGGAAATCAACGTATGTGTTCCAGAACTGGCGGCAAGCTGGCCATATTTTGAACTTGTTCTGCAGCATGTGAGCAAGCGACAAGGCCTTCCTGTAGGAGTCCCAGTCACGGAAGTAGAGACCTCAAACATGTTGCGGGTTGGACCAGGTTAGTGTGTAGGTGCGGATGGCCTCAGGCCAAGAAGTTGAGGTTGATTGGGCCCAGCGTGAATCCTCAGGAGCAGCCCTGAATCTCAACCATCCCCTGGGCCCCAAAACCCCTAGACTTGGAGCCGAACTGTAAACAAGTAGATTGGGGAACCTTACCGGGTCAGCAAAAGTGAGGGTTTAGGGTTTAAGGTTTTCCCATGTGACGCACACGCAATTTCACTGTATAACTGTTGCCAAAGGCACTCTTTGCGAGGATGAAATCACGATACGCGTTCTTGTATCGAGGATTTGCCGAATGCAAGCCTGATCTTGAGGTTTCAAGCTCCCATTCGCATTCGAGGGAGATTGCCTCCTCCAAATGGTCGATAAAGTTTTGACCACTTCCCACGTGGAAGCTGTTGTGCGTAATGATGAACCTCTGCCAGATCTTGGCAGGCACTCTCCAATGAATGAACTTTACATTCTTCAGGCCCCTAGCAAGGACTGGCTGGACGTTGTGGTGCTCTGCATTTTCTGCAGCAGCCCGATACACTGCCTCTGCTCTGTGATTCCATGTGCCGGCCTCACAGGGCCAGCACTTCTCAGCAGAGCGAAACTTGAAGACAGGCTCACCTCAGCTTGCTAGTGACGCTAACTTTATTTAACGGGGTTGCCCTCATTTAAAGAAGAGGAATCCTAGATAGATGTCAGCAAGAAACCAGCAGCAACCTGCGAGATGGACTCCCGGAAGATCCGTTCCTTATAGTTTTGCACTGTGGCCTCCTGTATCTCTCGGGAGAGTGGGGAGCGTACGATTGATCTTGCCAAGCCAGACGACACGTTCTCGCCATCACCAGCAGATTGGAAGAACCAGGGTACATCATGGACACCATCACCATAGAAGCTCAGGACAGCTTCTAAGAAAGCTGCGCCTGTTGGCGGACTGGCCCCCCAAAGGTCCTCCACTGACAGCTCAGGACGAAACAAGTCTATGCCACGCTGCACCACCTCATGTGGCTGGACTCCGTGCAGCAGCCCTTTCTCTTGCAGGCTACTCGGTTGCGGAGCAGCGACAATGCCAGGCACAGGCATAGCCATTGGTCAGACCCGTGCACGCTTTCACGCAGACCAAAGAACCCTGGTGGACACAAGCAGGCACCCGACGAACGCCAAACGGCTGCATGAGCATGACCAACAATCACGTCCCAGCAAAGCGTTTCAACAAGGCCTGCTCCAGAGCATGTTGCAAGTACAGCCTCTCTCTCTCTCTCGCGTGCTCAGGCGAACCTGTCAGACGCGCAACTGTACAGCCTACAAGGCCAAAATGCCGTTGCTACTGGCATTTTCCAAGCTAGAATTCGCATAGTCACGACTGTCACAAAGCCACGGGGCAACAGTGATTTAACAAAACAGCAAGAAAAAATTGAAAAGAAAACAACACATAACAGTCGTCATTCCCAATTGCAGCAGAATGTGTTCCGGAAAAAAAAATGAGAGCTCACATTCGCGCGCGGAACCAAAGCAACCTATCGAGCCGGCTCACCGATCCAGGGGGCCGGACCCCCGGAATCGGTGATCCGGGGGTCCGGACCCCGGGATCGGTGAGCCCGGCTCGCCGGACCCCGGGATCGGTGACCCGGCTCACCGATCCGGGGGTCCACACCCTCGGATCGGTGAGCCGGCTCACCGATCCAAGCCTCCAGACTCCTGAATCCGTGAGCCAGAGTCACCAAGCCAGAGCACCATGCCTCAGCGGTTAATCGGTGGATGCCAACATTTTTTATTGTATTTGTCATTGTTCAAGAAAAAACAAAACTGTGTCACACATTTCGGCAAGAGGTGTCTGCTTGTTTGTGATTGCATTGTTGGTTGGTTTGATATGTTGCTGTTGTGTTTCGTCTTGTCCGCCTTGCTAGTTGCGGGTCCGAAAACGGAAGCGGTCCCAAAACGGA